AAAACAGAAATAAAAGAAATGATAGAAATAATAAATGCCATTCAATTAAATGAAATATGATGTAAAGATAATAAATAAATTACAAGAGAGTATAAAACATAACAGAGAAATGATATAAGTAGAAACAGTCACATTAATGTTACCAATAATTTAATACACAATGAATTTATAAAAAGATTAAAAATATTAAAATTATAAATAAACTCATCAATACATTACAAACAATAACCATCAAAATTATGAAAGAATTAATATTTTATGCAATGAATTCTCTCTATATATTAAAAAATGAATCAACTAATTGTCGTATGATGGAAATAAAAATAAATTAAAATATAATGAAGAAACAGAAATAATCAACTCTTAATATTCATGTAATTCAAATAAAGATATATTTAATAATTGGTTTATATAAAATAAGGTTTATTAATTTTAATGTGTCGTTAAAAATTAATAATAAAAAAATAATTTCATTTCAATAGAATAAAGTATTTATTAAACAAATACTATTTGTTTAAATAAACATGAATCAATAATATATTAAAAACATATTAATGTAAATAAAAATTTGTTAAGAATGGTAATTTTATTCACATAAATTAATAAAGAATTAAAAACATAATAATTAATATTTGAAATATTCGACCTATTAACAATGAGGTAATAGGAGATACTATTTCAATTTTCTTGCATCCATTACTAACTTTTTATATTGATAACAATTAAAAAGTAACGATGATAAGATGCGGGACAAATATAATGAGATAAACGAGGTTTAAATATCCTAAGGGTTATTATAAAATACTAATAAAAATTAATAAAAAGCTATATTTTAATAGAATAAAAAACAAATTTAAAATTAAAATAAAAAAAAGATATTAAGTTCAATGAGTAATATCTTTGATCCTGATTATGAATGGACTAAAAAAACGGTATGTCATGCAATTTTTACTATCAAATCTCTTATTTCTCCAATAGTTGGAATTATTTGTGGGATAATTGGAATTCAAGGATGGTTAGGATTTGCTATTTGTTTTGGATGTGTTATAGTAATATCATATTTCTTTGTTGTTTATTATTCATTAGATGAAATTGACCCAGAAGTAACACTTGGAGATGCAATAAATGAAGGGCTTGGAGTCTCTTTAGCAGAGTTCTTACTATTTTGGATAATTTTCTTTACCATGTTCCATTCTCAATAAGTGGTTTTAATTACAACCAATAAAAAGATGACAATATTCAAAACAATTACAATTAATTGAGTGGTGTTGATTTTGCAACATATTTACCAATATTAAATATTCTTGTTTTTGTTTCATTTTGATTTGGTCTATGTCTTGTGAAATAAATTGATTGTCTTTTATTAAAGAAGATGTCATGATAAATTGGAGGAGTAATTACATCATTAACTCTTCTTTTAAAGCAATCACCTATATCCTATTTGTTATTCTTTATTCATTATTTTATTCAAACATAATTATATTTTATGAAATAACAAACGGTAAATATAACTTCTTTATTCTTAGTCATAAGTTCAAATGTTTTGATAATATGTCCTGTTTGTGGTCCAATGGTTTGAATATCATTTTTACTTACAAATGTTGATAAACCAAGGCATACTGCAATATTATAACTATCCATTTTTGATTCAGGACAATTTGTTATTCTTCCACAAAGTGCTAATAAATGTTTCAGAATACTTGCATTTGTTTTTGGTAATTGACATGTTAGTTCACGTATTTTGTCAACCCAAACTTCTTCATTAGTACTATTGCTCATAGTAATACTTAACATTGGTTGAAGTAATGGTCGAGGCCAAATAGGAGTATTTAAGCCTCTTAAAAATTTTCTTATTACTCCTGAAAGATTTACTACATCTGTTGCTTGTACATCAATAACACCAATCAGTTTAGTGTAACTTTCTAATGCTTTTGAGTCAGCGCATTGTCTAAATACACCTTCAAGAGATCTTGGTGTGAAATAAATTCCATACATAGCTTTAAGAATAGGAAGAGGAACTTCTTCGTTTTCATTTTTTATAATTTCATCTATTGACTGTGAATAATTAGTATTAAGTAGTTTCTTTCTTTCGTTAATAACTGATACAACAGCAGTTTCTAATTCATTAGAATCTTCTTCCTTCATAATATTATTGAATTTGACCATTTGATCTGAAAGAAGATTTAAGTCATTAATGTATGAAGAAAGTGATTGAAATAACGAAATATTAGATATCATATTATTTTGTTGCATTGCAATATCAGGAACAGATGAAATATTTTCACCCCATGAATTATTATTTTTTAATGAAATAGATAACTTGTTTAATGTATTTTCCTAAATGAAATAAGTTTTTATTCATACTTTTTGAATTTGTTTAATAAAGGTTAACAAACATATATTTTAAATATTTCTATTAACACTTCATTTGTATGTGAAATTACTAAAAGTTCATGATAAATAGAAGTTGATGAAGAAGCTTTGGGGACATTAATTCTTAAATTTTCTATTTTTGTATGAAAACTTTGAATTAATGGAATTAATGTTTGAAATGTTTGTGCTATTTGATTAGAGTTTATTGATAATTGTTCCATTGCTTGAAATTTGTTTGATCCATACCTTTCAAGACATAATTTATGTGCAGGAAGTAACCAGTCATTCATTTTATATTCTATTTGTAGTTTTTTTAAATTTAAGTTTATAAAAATATGTTTAAATATCAAAATATTTTATTTAATTTTTTTTTGTGTTAATATGAACTGATGGTTTGTGATGATTCTCTTTATCTGATATTAAAAAGTTATAGTTAAATGGAAGAAGATATATTAACACTTAAAAGTCAAATTAAATACCTTAGACAAAAAGTTTATATTCTTGAAAGAAAAAAAGATTATAAAAAAGAATATGAAGAAATGAAAAGTAAGTATCAAATAGTCAAAGATTTAAGAATCAAATTAGCAATATCACTTTCAGAAGAACGAAGAAAAAATGAACAGTATGAAATGATGATAAAATATTATGAATCAATTATTAATCAACTTATTTTTCATTGATTTTATTTTATGTATGTGAAATATATTTTTGTTTTTTTTTTTATTAATGAAATATATATTATATGAAATTGATTTGAATTAACTTGATATAATTTCATTAAGAGCATCTTTTCTTTCGAGACTCATATTTTGAATACATTGTTTTGTTAAAGTATCGTACTTTTCTGAAACGACTGTTAATACTTGTTTCATTATAATAAGATTTTCTTTTGTATGAGAACGATATAAGAAATTATCAGCAAGAATAATAAGAAGATTAGGAATGTGGTTTTGTTCTAAATTAATTAAACCATTAATATACATTAAACATAACTCATTACAGAGTTTTTCATTTTTATTTTTAATAGGTAAATATTTTAGCCATTCTTTAGCTTGTTCAGGAAGTTTAAGATCTAAAATAATTCTTCCTAATTTCCTGACCGCTTTAGATTGGACATATTCATTCGTTTCTTCTTTTACCATTTTCCATAACCTATTTAATACTTCTTCAATATTCTCAAACCCACGTTCAAAAGAAGCAACTAATGCACTTATTGCTGCATCTCTTACAGCAATACAAGAATCATTTAACCCTTCAATAATTCCTGGAGTTTTTAATCCGCAATCCCTAATAGCAATTTTTAATACTCTCATTGAAACAACTCGTGAAGAAGAAGACCCTTTTAACTTCTCCAAAATAACTGGATGAATATAATTAGCATATGCATTACTCATCGAACCCAAAACAATTGATGTAGATAAAGCAGACAATAATGTTTCTGTTACTTTGCCAACTTCTCTAAATTGTTCTAGATGTTTCAAAGCAGCTGCAATATTTGACATAACAATATTACTATCTAATGGAATGTCATGAGATATAATTCTTTCTAATGTTCCTATTCCTGCAGAACATAACTCTGAATCAAATGAATGACATCCTGAATCTAATACAGCAACTAGTCTTTGTAAAGTAAGTTCTATTTCTGGACTTCTTTGGTCTTGATATAATATAATAAATAATGAACCAGCAGCATTAATAGCAATAGAAGCAATACTAATGTTAATTGACCTTGATTCTGTTACAATAATTTCAATAACATGATTCATTACTGGTAGTAACAATTTATGTGCTTCAGAAATCAATACAGATAAACATCCCATAGCACTTTTCTTCTCTTCAGATAATCCACTTGCATTTTTAATTGGAATTTGTATTTTACATCGTTGGAGTAAAAAAGGAAGAAATTTAGTAATAAATGGATAGAAATATTCTTTTAACAAGGGAAGCATTCTTATAATAATTGTTTCTATATATCCGAGTAATGGGTCATCTACTTTTATATTTGGTAAAGAAAGACACACATATAATTGTTCTGTTAATTTTTGAGCAAACAAAGTAAGTTCTGAACTATTAAGATAAAATCCAATAATACTAATAGACTCAATAATTCTTCCACGAAGTTCAAAGTATTCATAAGTTGTTGGTATTTTATTTAATAATTGGAAGTAACCATTTAAAAATGAAGATGCATAACGTGTAAATAATTTTTGGACTCTAGTAACAAGAAAAGATATTGCACAAATTGCAGATGAAAGGACATGTAACTCACTTGACTGTAATAATGGTTGTAACATTGAAATAATTGATTCCATCTTTTCTTTCATTAGAGCTGTTGATGCAGAGTCAATAAAAAAGGATAAGAAGTCACACGTTCTTGCTTGAATTTTTGGAATTGGAGAATTAATGTTTGTTGCTATTAATTGACATACAATAGGTTCAAAAGTACTTCTAAGTGAGGGATATGATTTAAGAACTCTATTGGCAAATACCAAGACTTCATAAGTAACTCTTGGATGAAGAGAAATAATTGATAAAAATGATTGATATATTTGAGGGATAGATGCATATAATGAAGAAGTATCTATTGAAACGATTTGTGAAACCATAAAAATAAATGATCTAGCTTGTTGCCATGTTGGATTTGAAGGGGCTAAACTTAATACTTCTTTTGTTGGTTTAAAAAAACTAAATCTAAACATAAATTCTTCTGCAGCAGAACATAAACTATCTTTTTCTTCTTCTTTAAATTGATACCATTCAGGATTATCTTGAATTGTACAAAGCCATTGATATAAATACTTCATTGTAGGTAATAAAGCATCACCCAATGTTCTATAAGTTTCACATAAAACAGCAAGACATTCCATTGAAGGAATAGCATCACTTCCTAATAATTTTACACCTAATAAAGCGAATGTACATGTTTGTTTTAAATAATTATTAAATAATGCTGATGTTTCATTCATTTCACTTATAACTTCTATACAACTTTGTGCATTTAACCTATCTGTTTCCAATACATGAATTGCAGCTTCTAAGAATTGAGGATAATGTGATACAACTTCTTCAGTAAATTCTTTTCCTTCTTCTTCACAAACTTCAATGACTGATTTATATAATTGTAATGAAGAAACAACAACAATACCAACATCATTTAACAATTTTATTGCAGAGTTAAGAGATTCACGAATGAAATCAACACTTGGCTCTGAAAATATGATTAATAATGCAACTGTAGACAATGCTATTGATCGGTGTTGTGGAGATGGAAATGTAAACATTGACTTTAATGCAGGGAGAAGTTCTGGAAATGAAGGAGAAACAGTAAAAGTATCATAAAGTAATGATGAATAAGCACGAAGAAGTGCTGGAGGAGAATCACTTTGAAGGAGATGAATTAAAAATAATTTGAATTGTTGTTTTTGTTCATCAGTTAAATAATGATATAATGAGGGTTGTGCTTTGTAAAAATTACGAGATAATAAATTTGCAGATAATAAACGAATATTAGGATCGTTAGAATTAAGTGCTTGAATGTGAGTAGAGATTAATGTAGTTGGTTGAGAAAGTAATGAGTTATATAATTTTTCAGCATTTGAACGTATTTCGTTGTTTGAAGATAATAAATTTTGAAAAAGAAGTTCAACGTTCATATGACTTTGAATGAAAATAATGATTTAGAGTTGAACTAAAAGTTATAATAAAAAAATAGTTATAAATAATAATAACAAAATTATTACATTCATTAACTAAAAGATCTAACAATTTCTTTATTTTGTCAATTCATGAATCGATTTATCTTACAAACCAACACATTTGAAGTGAGTATAGACAAGTATAAAGTCTCTCCAAAAAGTACAATGACTGGTATTCAACAAGGTCAAATCATTCAAATTTTTAAAGAAAATAAAAAAATAATATTTGAACCTTATGATGAATTCGAATGGTTTTTATTTAATGGAAATGAAATGGTTGTTTTGAGGAAAGGAGGAATTATTAGTATTGCTGATGATAAAACACCTCCTTCCCCATTAATGAAATTAAATGAATTTAAAGACATTTCAATTTATTCATACAAAGAAATTTTTGTTGTTGTCGTTAAACAAAGTAACACTGTTGAATGTTTTATTTTTCATAATTTAAGACAAAATAGGTTGAAACCTTTATATAATGTAAAAGCTATTACTATGAAACAAAATTGTTTATTTGTATTAAAAGAAGATGGTGAATTATTTTCTATTGATTGTTTCATTGAAGGAAAGTCAATGTCTTATCATTTTAACTTAAAAGATATTGGACTTAAAGAACAAGACTTAGAAGGTAATGTAAAAATGGAAGTAAAAGATAATCTTTTAGAATATTGGATTATAAATAAGAATGGAATTAGAATATGTCAGATTAATGGTGCTTTTCCTTTTCGTCAAGAAAATTTTATTGAAGAAATGGAACATCTTTATGACCCTAAGGATTTTCAATTAATTGGAGAGAATGATGAAATTGATGATGAATATATTCCTTATTCTATTCAAACATATCTTCAGGATTATGTCACATTATCAATACAATATTCAAATAAACCTAAGGGAGAGTGGATTGACATGAACAGCCAAATAGAAAATGTTGATATTGATAATAGAATAATTCAAGTTATTACACCAAATAACAAACATCAATTAATTAATTTAAACACTCATAATATGACTATGGAATGTGAAAATTTATTATATTTAAAAGGAGATAAATTCAAATTTATAGTAATTGAAAATACTCAAACTATTCTATATTATATTAAATCAATAGACATTCTACACCCTCTTGTGGTGTGTGGGTTTGATTATATAATCAAACAACTAAAACAGTTAAACAACATTTCAATTAATTTTACTACTAAGTTATTATCAAGTATTAATAGAGAAAATGATGAGGATATTAATGAATGTATTAACCAAGCATCTTATCAAGAACTTATAGATAGTATTAACATTATTGAACAAAGTATTGGAACAGGAGATTCTCTTAGTATTATTGTTAAAAGAGCATTAGAATTAGGAACAATAATAATGAAACGAATCATTAAAGAAGATAAAACAAAAATATATGATAAAAAGATTCAGAATTTTATTAGAAAGATAATTGATAGTAAATGTCCAATAAGAAAACGATTTAATGAGGAAAATCAAGAAGAAAAAAGATATGAAAAACCAATTATTCAAATAAATAATAAAATAAGTGATATTGGAAAAGAACAAATGATACAAATGTTATATTCTCTTAAAATAAAAGAGGCTATTAAAATGGGATTAATAAGTGGATATGAAAATATTTGTGAAGAATTAGAAATCATTAAACAAAATACATGTAATACATTAATATTAAAAGGGTGTATACTTGCATTAAAAGAGTGTGGAATTAATGTTGATGAATTGTTTATGTTATTTGATAAAAAGGTTCCTAGTATTGGATTATTTAAAGAACAACATATTAATGTTGTTGAGTGTATTAAACAAATAATTTTAAGACGTAAAGCAATTATTGCTGAGAATGAAAATACAAGAATTGAATTACAAAAAATTAAAGAAAATAAAATGAATGAATTAAATGAAATTATGGAAGAGAAAACACAGTATTTAGATGAGTTGTCAGAAAATGGAAATGGTTCTAATAACGAAATAACTGAAAAACTTAATTCAATGAATTTAATAATTCAAACATTACAAGAAGATATAGAAGAAATTGCAAAACAAATTAAATTAATTATTCCATTAAAAATTGAAGCATTAGAATTACCACAACTACCAGAGTATTATGTCAATTGTAAAGAAGAGTTGTTATGTCCATTAGGATGTATTGAAAAAAATGACCTACAAGATATTATGATGGAAATGAGAATTATTCCATTATCTAATGAATTTAAAAATAAACATTTTCCTTGTGTTGAATATCAAAAAAGATCTTTTGAACATTTTTTCACTCCAACCACTTCTATTGAATATATTCCATTCTATGAACTTTGTTTAGATCATATTAAACCTCTTAATGAATGGATGATGGAAATGGAAGATATAAATACAAAAGAATGTATTAAATTTGATGAAGAAGAACTCATGAAAAATATAAAGAATATTACTTCAATATCAAATAATGAAAATATTAATATCATTGATTTATACAAAATTAAATATCAATATCATCCATCAGGCAAATATAATATATCATATCAACAAATAAAACCATTTGAAATAAATACTTTACCATTAAAAGAATGTATTCAAAATAAAGACATTATAACTTGCTTTATTTATTCTTATACTTACAAAAAAACTAATCAATTACTTGAAGCTCTTAATAATTTACCAATTACAACTGAAACAATAATATTAGAAGAAATATTAACTCATTCTTATAATAAAAGAAAAGAACAATACAAATTACCATTGAATTACCCATCTCATAGTTCTTTGTTATCTGATGAATTCCAAGTATATGGATTTTTTAATAATAAACAACTTCCTGAACAATTTTACAAAGATTTATTCAAAAGAACTATACCAGAAATATTATATTTCTTTGATATGAATCAATTAGATATTCCTTCCAATGATGAATCACCACAAATATACCATCTTTCTATAACTCAAAACTATCATAAAGAATATCCACTTTTATTAGATATTTGGGATTCAATACCATTAGAAGAATATTTAAAAGATTTTGGAATAATAGGAGAAGTTGTTTCAAAGTATCATTTAGAAAAAATACCATCACAACTTTTTTGTGAATTTATTAGATGTGTTTATCACAGAACAAGGGATATTGCAAAAATAAAAGCAACAATTATAAATAAATTAATTACAGAAAATCCAGAACTTATGCAACCATTAAAAAATATTATTGAAGAATGTAGTAATATACTAGACACTGAAGATTTACTTCCTTTAGGAGAGTATTGTCAAATGATTAAAGGATTAAATAAAAATTCAATTCTTATTAAAGCTGAAATAGAATGTATTAAACAAGGAATAAATAGAAATGAAATAAAAACAACGAAAGATATTATTCAATTTTTATTAGAAAAGAACAATAAATTACTTGATGAATTAATTATATTATGTAATGACGAAGAACAATTTTATGCATTATTTGAAAAGAATTATAGAAAAATGAAGAAAAGTGAAATAACATTATATCCTATTAATATATTAAATGAAATGAAAGGTATTAAACAAAATTATAATGAAATTTATATTGACACTCATACTACTCAACAATGGAAATTATATATTGAAGAAATTAAACAATTTAAAGGAGATAAGAGTTATATTATTAAACATTTTAAATGTTGTTGTGAATTAATACATAAACATAAAGAATGTGCTGTAGAACAACTTTGTTCTATTCTTTATTTATTATATAATGAACTATTTAAAATAACATTAAATCAAGTATATAAGTTAGAAGCAGAAAAATATAATCATAATTCTTTTAACGATTGTCTTGTTGTTTTAGGAATTGATGGACATTCTTATGTAAAAAAAGTATTAAGAATTGCTATGAATGGATCAATGACAAAAGACTTATTTAATTTATCATCAACAAAACTTGGAAGAATGAGTGTTACTGTTGGAAGTTTTAATGGGCAAAAAAATATTTTTATTGAAAAAGAAAGTGATAGAAATGAATTTACTCAAGCAATGGAAAATATTAAATCATACAAACATACTTCAGCTAGAATTCAATTATTTCATGATATTATGAGAGACTTTCCAATTAGAAGAGACATTATTGACATGGCATTAACAAATTATAATGCTGCTATATTAAAATTATTTAATCAATTCCTTCAAAAAGAATTTTTAGAAATGTTAGATGATACAGAAAAATGGGACGCTTTATTTAAGTATATTAGAGTACTTAAATATGTTGAAATGGTTGAGGATGAATCTATTATTCAATTAATTTTACTTATTTTATTTAAAGCATCAAATGAAATTAATATAATTAAAATTCATGGATGGTCAACAACACTTGTTAATGAAATTGTTGGAATGTTTAATGATAATAAAATGATTGCAAGAGAAGTTCTTAAGTTAATGAGTAATGTTCATGATCTTCATTTAATATCAGAATTACTTGTATTTGTAATATATGCTGCTAGAAAATCAAATGATGGAATATGTATTAAACAAGCTATTCAAATATGTGTAAGTCATATTGATGGATTTATTAATAATGATGTATCTGATATAATAAGACTATTATCAAGAACTGATACATTTAATGATGTTCTTATAAATAAAGAAAATATTTATTCATACCTTCTTAAAAAAATGATAAACGGTAAATTATCATTTAAAAATTTAATTCCAAACAATGATTCTAAACTTAATCCAGTAAATATTTTCTTCTTTAGTGATGCATTAAACCAAATTATTTATGAAAATTCTTTAAACGTATGGTTAAAAAATAAAAATGAAATAGTTGATTGTTTTATGTATATCCAAGAATTTGAACAAGCAGCTCATTTTCAATATTTAGTTGGAATTACTTATATTGAAAAACTTGTTGATCAAATTAAAGAAAATACTGAATTCCCTGAAGGAATGAATGAAATTTTATCAATTTCATTAGAATGTTTTGCTGGTTCACTAGCATTTTTCTCAACTACATTAAATAATGTTTGGGCAAATAAATGTACAAAACAGATATTATGTATTGTTCTTCAAATGGTTTATAATAATGTTCAAATTATTGGGTTAGATCCATTAGAATCAAAAGAATTACTTTGCTATTTTAATAACTTTGAAGATGCTAATATCTTTGCTCAAGTTTATGACTTAAATGAGACATCAAAGTGGGCAGCTGCATTAATGCAACAATGTGTAATAATGGGTAATTTAGAGTATTTCAAAGAATGGGCAGAATATTATGAAATGGATAATAGAACTTATGAAACATTAATAGAATTTATGCAAAGTGATAAACGTCTATTAAATAAAGAAAGATGGGAAAAATTATTTGATATGATCAACTCAATATTCCCACAAATGTCAAAAGAAACAAGACATGAAAAAACAATTGTTGAACGTATTAGACAAACACCATTAAAATTACATCTTTTTATTCAATAGAATTAATTAAAATATATTATACTTTTTTTTAATAAAATAATAAAAATAAAAAAAGAACTCAAAAGAATACTAATAAGAAAAAACCTTCAAAAAGAAAAAGGAGATATAATGGAAGAAACTGCACGTATTAAATTATTTCTTAAAGTCATAGATGAACCTATTGTTAATATAAAAAAATTAATGAAATTAAGTTGGCATGGAATACCATTCAGCATTAGATATATCATATGGAAATATTTATTAAGATATATTCCTGTTGAACATAAACGTGTTGAGTTAGTATTAAAAAAGAAAAGAAATGAATATGACTCTCTACAGAAAATGTTATCTTTTGAAGCAACAGAAATCGAATTAAAAACAAAAAAGCAAATTAAATTAGATTTAGTAAGAAGTACTACTGAAGTTCCATTTTTATTTCATGATAAAGCACAAGAAATAATGGAAAGAGTATTATTTTTATGGGCATTAAGACATCCTGCAAGTGGATATGTTCAAGGAATTAATGATTTGATTGTTCCATTATTTGTAGTGTTATTACAAGAATATTCTCCTTTAAGAGAAAAAAATGTTTTTGAAGATGTTTTAGAAGATGACTTAAAGAAAGTTGAAGCTGATTTATATTGGTGTTTATCTTTATTACTTGAACATGTCCAAGACCATTATACAAGTAATCAAAGTAAAATATTTGAACAATTAACTTCTATGAAACAATTAATTATTAAAATAGACCAACCATTAGCAAGTCATTTTGAAGAGAATAATGTTGAATGTTTTCAATTTGCATTTAGGTGGTTCAATTGTTTTTTGTTAAGAGAAATGTCTTTAGAAAAAGGATTACGTCTTTGGGACACTTATCTTTCAGATGAAGATGGTAATGGTTTTAGTCAATTCCATTTGTATGTGTGTGTTGCAATCATTGAAAAATATTCTTCTAAATTAATGAATATGGAATTCGCTGAAATTATGCAATTTTTACAAAATCTTCCAAGTGAAGAATGGACTAAATGTGATATGGATGCTTTGTTATCTGAAGCGTTTATCTTATATAAAAGATTTTCATCTTCAGATACTCATCAACCACTTTCTCATTAATTCATATTATTTTTTTTTATTTTATAAAAAAGTTATTCAAATAACAATTTTATTCTTTTTTATGTCATTTTATCTCTTTAAATCATTTTATAATCTTCTCGTTTTAGATTGTTTCATTTTGATATTATTTTAATCTTTTTTCTCTTTTATAACACTATTACTGTCTGTGTTTTTCTCAACTCCTTTAAAAGAATTTCTTTAAGAGAGTTTGTAAAGAAACTTCTTTTTATAACAAAATTAATTATAAACTTGTAATGTGCTTAAAATATAAAAAACTATCTATTAAAACCTAAATATAGAATGATCTAAAAATAAAGCACTGATTTTTGATAGAAAAGTATTGAATGGAGGAAATTGAAAAACTATATTTTAATAAAAAAAAAACTATAAAAATAAAAATCTAGAAAAAAATGAAACAAGAAAACTCTACAAGAGGAACTGAATAAGAAACAAACTCTAAATATTTTATAGATATATAAGAATCAATGGCGAATGTCCTAAGAGAAGCTGTTTCTAAAGCCAAAAGAAGATACCAACAATATGGATTTGAT